AAACCCCATCCCATCAACTCTGTACCGCACACACTGAGCTGTCTGGACATTCACATCAAGGCTGCTGTACCGTACATCGCCTTGGCCTACAGCAGGCCCCCTCCTTTTCAAGAGGTCTGGGAGGGCATTCCTGTGCGTGGTCCTGCAGCCGACCAGGTGCTAGTTTATCTAAGGGCCTCCCATGCGCCCAGGGCGCCGGCAGACCCTGTGCCCACCCGGGAGGCACAGATACCAGCAGTGCATTCACAGCAGCAGAGACTCATGTCCCATCTCAGAATTGGAAATACAGGAGGGAAAAGGATTTTTGCTGACGAAGGAAAATCCACCATGATAGCTATTTTAAATTATTTAATGTAATGAGCAAAACTGACCAACAGGGTCCCGTGGTGGACAGTCATCTATCTGGACAGCCCAGCCGGCGTCGCGTTTGAGGGGCTGGGATTTAGGACTCTTTTCCACATGCAGGGTGGGGGCTGTGGTGAAGCTTGGCTGCCCCCCTTGTGGGCCTTTCACATCCCTGCCCCCCAGCCCCTGTGGAGGCTCGGCCCCTGCATGTGCGCACCAGGCCCTCACCTTCTCATGATCTGGATCTCCAGGCACCATCGCTCTCGGTTCCGGGGACTGAGCTCCTGCCGGCACTGCTTGATAGCGATCTGCTCACCTGTTTCCTGCAGAGAAGACCATCCGAGTCAAATCCGAAACTGTCCCCCAAGGCCCAAAGCAAGGACTGTGATCACCTCCAGCCTGTCCTGCTGGGCTCCTCCAGCCCCACCTCTCAGCCTGCCCTCGCCCTTCACCCTCTCCATCCCGAGTCTGCATGGAAGCACTCAGGCTCCCCCTCCTCCACAGGACCTCTGCTGACCACACCTGCCCGCAGGAGTCCTCACTCCTCCGCCCGGAAGCCACTGAACTCGACCATCCGACCCCCCCTGAACATCACCTCCACATGCGCCAACCTAACGGCTCAGGCACGGACATCGGGGTTCATCTGCCTCCCTCTGGGAAGTTCCTCTCCCCAGACGGAACAAGCCCAGAACACGGGAGATTCAACTCCCATGCAGCCGTTCACCAGCTCTGGGACCCTGGGCAGGCCCCGGCATCTGTAAAGTGGGATCTGGACACCCACCTTCAAGGGCTGCCCTGGAGCAGAGCCTGGAGCCGAGTTCAGCCCTGAGCAGGCGTTCAGGAACACTCCGGGGGGCACCCCTGTGTCACACACGGACTCCTGACATTCACAATCCTCCGAGGCTGGGCTCAAACCCACCTTCCCCCACCCTCCATCAGACCACCGCCAGGTCCTGTGCTGTCTGGCCTCCGTGCCAGCTCTCATAGGGGCTCAGGCACTGCCCCCCGCCCACCCGCCCTGCTGCAGGGGCTCCTGCCCTCCTCTCTAAGCAGGTGACCCTTTCATTGCACTTATTATCAAAGACTTATTTTCTGCAGGGGCACAGGGCTATTTTCTCTTTTCTCTGGTAAATTATAGGCCTGTCCAGCCTCCGGCTGAACCCCTATGCCAGTAACTGGCACGGTGCCCTCAGTGGAGGTTTCCGAACAGAAAAGAAAGCATCAATGCAACTCCTGTGGATGACGGACTGCTGGGTCCTGAGGATTAACTCTGCTCTCCCCCTGGTGTCCAGGCAGCACTCAGGACAGACTCAAAGGGGAGGGCCTTGAACCACTGGCATTGGGGGTGGAGGGACCACACTCAGCCACCACCTCCTGGGTCAACGGGTGCCGAGGGGCAGCAGGTGCCCTGGGGGCAGCAGCCTGGGTGCTGGCCCCCTTCCATGAGCACGCCGACCTCTTCTCTGGCCCTGCGTACCCTCTGCACCTGCGGCGAGAACCCTGACAGCCCCACACCGCCATGCGCTGGGATGGCCTCAGGGAGGGATGGATGATCAATCTGGCCAGAAAAGGTTTCAGAGCAGGACAAAATTCGACTGGTACCCAAATGAAGGATAGATGTCCTAGAGGCCCTGTCAGGCCAGTTTCTGAGTTTATGAAAGTGCACCCTGAAAAGAATGAGTCGAGTAAGCGCAGGAACTCATTCAGCACCGAGCAGGACTTAACACAGGCCTGTGGGGGACGCGGCAGGACCTCCAGGGCCCAACGTGCCATCCTGACGGCCACAGAACTGCATCGCGGTCACACGGCAATGAAACCGGCCACCATGCCCACGGGAGCAAGGACCCACCCGAGAAAAAGAGGAAAATGGGAGTCCCCAGGCAGACAGATGGACTGACGGTGTCCAGTAAGACCATCTGGTCAACAGATCCGTCTCTAAAACTGACGCTCAAGATGGAAAGCCTCCGAAGAAAGGTGGAGGCACCTTCCGACCCTGACAGCTCCAAGGTCAGACGCAGATAATTCCAGCGCCTCCAAAACACTCTCAGAAGCTGTTTTTATTAAATCCCAACGCCCTGGTTAAGTCCCCCGTCACACAGTTACCTCACACGCCTTTTTTCTTTAACAGTTCTACTGAGATGTAATTTGTGTCCCAGACAATTCATCCATTTAAAGCGTGCACTTTAATGGTCTGGGGTACGTGCAGAGGACTGCGACCAAGGCCACAACCAACTTTAGAACACATTCATCATCCTCCAAAGAAACCCTACAACCATAAGCCATCGCTCTGCATATTCCCCAACACCCCACTCCCATCTACTCTGTCCGCACACACTGAGCTGTTCTGGACATTTCACATCAAGGGACTCTAACAGTCATGCAGGGGTCTTTCGTGGTGGCCTCTCTCACCCAGCCCAGCGTCCCCAGGCTCGCCCCTGCGGTGGCCCCCACCTGCCTCTGTGACAGCACTCCTTGGTGCCACCCTGAAAGCAGGTGCCGATGGCCAGGTTCTGCCACATCATTCACTCACTTTGCTGCTAGAACCCTGATCTTGGGCCGAGATTCTGAGGCACTGTTGAAGAGCTGACCTCTTTGTGAGATCGTAAATCCTGTTGCTCTTGGACCCATGAGTACAGTTACAGGTGTGAACTTGGGTGGAAGTACACCTCATATTTCTCGAGAATTAGGGGATGTGTCATGATAACATCATTTCTTCAATCAACGTACAAACGGACTGAGTTACAGCTCGCAGACGTTACACCCTCCACGGCATGAACTTCCCGAATCCTCCACCTTCAAACCGATTTGAATCTGATTTCGTTTCACTTCCTATTAGTGTTTAGACTCTTAACGTCCTGGCCCTGTTCTCCGGCAACCACACTGATGCTGCTCTGAAGTGCGTTCCAGATACTCATCCCTAGTCAGGTGGGGGCCTCCATGGAAACCGCGACAGTGGGATGCAGGGTTCTACAAACGAGAGAAGACGGATGGCCAGGCTGCACCCACTGAGCACCCACTCAGCGTGGAATGTTTTCATGGACTTTAAGCAACAGTTTGGCAGCAGATGCTGCAACTCGTGGTTTGTTAACTCAGAATGAGTCTGAGAGTTTAAATTGAGACACTTAAAAATCCACACTATTTTAACTTCAGTCCACAGAAGAGTGTACTCCTTTCTATCGCTGCTGTGACAAACTGCCAGGAACCTACTGGCCTAAAACCACCCAAATTTATCCCCTGACAGTTCTAGAGACCAGAAGTCTGGCATGGGTCTCGCTGGACTAAAATCGAGATGCTGGCAGGGCTGTGTCCCTTTCCAGAGGCTCCAGGGAAGAACACGTTTCCTTCCAGCTCCAGCTTCGAGGGGCTGCCCGCGTCCCTTGGCTCATGGCCTATTCCCCCATCCTCAAAGCCAGCAGTGACCAGACGAGTCTTTGCCACGTTGCATCACCCTGACACTGACTCTCCGGCCTCCAGCTTCCACTTTTAAGGAAGCTTGTGATTCTGCTGGGCCCACTCGGATCACCCAGGGTAATCTTCCCACCTAAGGTCAGCTGCTTCACAACCTGAAACTCCTTTGCCGCATAACCAGACATACTCACGGGTCCAGGGAATGAGGACGTAGACATCTTTGAGAGGGGCCCTCATCTGCTGACCACAAAGAGTACGCATCCCTCATAAAGATGACAGATAAATCAAACCCGAAAGGCAGATTTATTATGTGACTGGGAAATATTTTAGGGAATCGGTGTACACACTGGATGACTGTAGATAACTATACACAATTTTGCCCCACACAAGCACTCGAGCTAACACATGGCTGTCACTTGGCCCACTCCAGAGCCCAGGAATAGATTTTGATATTGAAGGTTGATATTGATCTGACATTGGCCTCAATATGCAAACTCAAACTAAAGCTTGAACTTAGTGATATAAACACAGAATACATCGTGGAGTAACTAGGCACAAACACTGAAACCGACTTTGTCCTTGCGGACAGCTCAGCCCAGCCCCATGGCTGCAGGGGAAGTCCTGACTTCCTGGGCCTGGGGCTGTCCCACACAGAGACAGATACACACATTTTCTTACAAGGATGCCCTCTAGGAAGTACTCTAACATATTCCAGTTTTTCCATGAGTCATGTTGCATTTGAAACGGAAGCTCAAATAGAATGACTTTCTGTTGCTAAAAACATACCTGCCCTGGAAAGCAAAATTCAATTCAACAGTACAGAAAAAGCAGATGATGAAGACTGGTTTGAAACCCTGAGGAGTTCGTTCCCCACCAGCAACGAGACTGAAGAGCACGGAGGACTTTCCCCATGTGGCTTGGCACCTCCTAGTCTCAGCTCAGTCCTCTGGACACGGAACCTTGGCCAGAACCATCTCAGCATCTAACTCCTAATAAGTTGGGACACAATTTAAAATCGGTTTGTATTTTGACAAAATGGAGAAAGGGGCCAACCATGGTATCTACATTGAAGGCAGTTGATCGTGAAGGTCCTTCAAGTCCCTGTGATAGTTAGCCTTTTGTACATGAAAACGTGAACCCTGCAATATAAACGTGAGTGCACTCTGAAGTGGGGGTGGGGACACGCATCCTCAGACTTCTGAGATCACCGAAGGCTCTAGGAAAATTGAGCTAGAAAACCCGGCCTCACACAGTCAACCTTCTTCTAAAGACGAGGGGATGCTCACAGGAAGCCAAGAAGTTCCTTCAAACCCTCAGGTCACAAAGCTGACTCCTGTTACCATGGCGACCCTCCAACTGGTTCCTTCTGAGGACCTGTCCTCCAAGATGAATGGTTCCAGAAGGTGGTGCACAGCTGGACCCAGAGAGGGAGCAGGGACAGAGCCCAGGGCTGAGAGTCAGAAGGCTGAGGGTCTGGCCCCAGCTTCATCCTGACTCAACAGCGGAGATCAGTCTACGCTAAGATGGCTGACTCCAACCCATTCCCTTCGGTGTGAAACCCAACAGGCACAGAGGTCTCCAAACCCACCCGCGGGGACTCAGGGGTGACGCAGGTCCGACTGTCATCTCTCGTCCTTCACCTGGTGAACGCGTGACCTGAGGCCTGTGATTTAAGCTCCCGGGTCTTTACCCACAAGGCGCAGGTGACTCTCCCACTTCCGGAGACATCAGTTAAACCGAGATGAGCAGCTGATACTTGAGTCAATCCTGGGAGTACCACTTCCTTTCCAAGACCCGTGCAGACGTGGCTCTACCATCTGAACTGCCTTCTCCTCTCCTGTCAGGCCATCAGAGGTCCACCTCCTTTCAAGTCCTGCTTCGGGAGCCTTCCGTCACCCCTGAGCACGTCAAGTGCAGATAAAGCGCCCAGCACATCAGGCACGTGCCGCTCTCGACACACAGGAGCCGTGACCACTGCCACAGGATCCGGGGCTGAGTTTTACACTTATGCAGTGTGTCCCTAACTATTCGTTTCATGCCCTCGATCAGAGCACAGGCATGTAAGTCAGGGCCAGCTCTTTCTTTCCCTGATGGGTCCCTGATGGCGCTTAGGCTAGTGCTCAATAAATTCTTCCCGAACTACTGACGAAAGTGTAAGACTTCAAAAACACACAGACCAGGAAGGGAAGGGTATAACTCGGTGGTAGAGTGCGTGCTTAGCATGCACAAGGTCCTGGGTTCAATCCCCAGTCCCTCCCTTAAAAAATAAACCGATAAAAATTTAAAAATAAATAAACCTAATTACCTCTCTCCCTTAAAAATTTAAAAATTTTTTTAATTTATTTAACACACACACACACACAGAGGCTAAAGTGAGCTCAGCGTTGTCCAGTGAGGGGACAAGGATAAGCCAGCACCACTTCATGGGGGTAGCTGGTGTGTCCTTGGGGCCCCGGGGCAGCATGTCCCAGTGCCTTCCCATCACAGCGCACAGAGAATGTGATATTTGCAAGGCATGCTGGGACGTTTCCAGACTCTTCCAGAGGGGAGCTAGCGGCTCCACATGGAGATCAGAGGGGACCGGTATCTCAACATCCTTGAAACCCACATGGGATGCTGCGGCCCAAAGCCACGCAGCTGACAACACCAGAGTCAGGACTTGGGCCCAGGTCTGTGTGAGTGTGGGTCCTGTGGGTTTCTCCCGGTCACTCCTGCAAGGTGCTGCAGGCTGAGGTCACTCGGGTCACCCCCTTGTCTTCTGCTTCTACACTTAACAAACATCCCACTGAAAACGTCAGCCTGCCTAGACGGTCCTGACTCTTGGGCTGAAGTCTTGAGGCAGCATCCACGTGGCAAGGACTGTCGAGACCCATGCTTGGTAAGAGAATCAAAAAACTCAGGGACAACGGTAGGGGGCTCATTTGTTACACAGCCCTTCCTTCCTGGGAAATACTCATTTTAGGGTTTTCTGTGTAGCAATGGGGATGTGTATTTTCTGAGAGGGGTTTCCCTGTAGTGCTTCGAAACTGTTTAAATTGATGGTGGAGCTCTGAGCCTGTTCCGGGGGTGCCCTGACCTCGGATCCCCACCATAGAGAAGCCACAGGCCAGTGGAACAAGCACGAGGCTGGGATTCAAACCCATGTAGGTTCAGAAGCTTCCAGCTCCTTTATGTGCTAGCTCTGCCGCTCTGGGTAAGTGACTTGACCTCTTTGTGCTTTAGTCATAAAAAGGGAGAAAACCCATGCCGGCACGCAGTCCGTTCTCGATAAACGATGGGTCTGATGACCGGGCACCGCTGAGCTGACTGAGGATACCGATGCTCAGGCTCTCGTCTGTCACTTCTGTGATGAAGTGAAAATGCGCTCTCTCGCAGCCGAGACAAAGTACGTGGAGTATTAGGAAAACGCACATGGTTATCGTGTTTAGTCGCTCTGTACAGCTGGGGTTTGGGGATCACCGACCTTTCGTCAAGAGGCTCTGAACAGAGGGTCGTGCACAGGGTGCACACCATGTGAGCCCTGATCCTGACCGCCGGTCACAGAGCCTCCCCTAGGCGCCAGGGCGGCCCCAGAGGCCTCCCCACAGGAGGAGTGCTCCAGGCGGACCTGGAGAGCTTCCTGGACTGACCGGGGCCATGGGCGGGCGCTCACTAAGCACCTGTAAATCTTGACCCCTCTCCCTTAGCCCTTCCCTCGCCTATCCCACCATTCAGTCCTGCTAATTTCACCCCTATAAGAGCTCTTTTTTAATTTAGTTTTTTTTGGGGGGGGCTAATTAGGTTTATTTATTTTTAGAGGAGGTACTGGGGATTGAACCAAAGACCTCTGCATGCTAAGTATGCACTCTACCTCTGAGCTATACCCTTCTCCTAAAATAGCTCTTAAATCTGCCCCCTTCCCTTCACCTGCACCACCACCGGCCCAGTCCATCCTGTACTCCGGAAGCCTCAGAACTGTTCTCCTCCCAGGACAGGGCAGTGCCATTCGGGGTCCCAGTACCAACTCCCAAGAGCTGACTGTTAGATATTTGGGATTCTTGTGAGAAAGGTCATTCGACTGTCAGTGGTTTGAAATAAGCTGCTGTTACCCTGTACAAGTCAGGGTGTTTCTCTGAGAGCCGACCTCCCAGCACAGCCCTGCCTGGGTCCTTTCCAGTGGGTTCATGCAGCCAGAGCCTGGCTCCCTATGGCAGGGCTCGACTCCCATCTCTTCTGCCCGGCTAACTTCCACCAACCCTCAGGTCTCCCCTCCAGGGCGGCTTCCTTGCAGAGGTCTTCCTGTCCCCTGAGCAATCCTGCCCCTGGCAGAAGGTCTCACCACACCGGGCCCCTCCCCTGGGTCACAATGATCACAGTTGGGAGCTTATGTTTCTCCTAATTGACTAGTGGGACTTTCCCTTTTCTGATCAGGTCTTTATCAAAAAGTGGATGATGGTGTGCACCGAACAGAAAGGCAGTCGCTGTTGGGGAACTGAACGAAAGCCAAAGCCAGACAGAGCCTAGGCTGACGGGGAGCAGTCCTATGGATAAAAAGGCGGTGCGGGAAGCTTGCTGAATGACAGGGGCCAAAGGAGTTCAGGGAGAACTAGCTCCCACCCAGTAAAGGGGTCCAGGACTGGGATGTGGAAGAGGTTGCCTATAGCGGGTCCTGGAGGGATGGGCAGACTTTACAGAAAGCTGTCCAGGAGAGAGAGGCCTGTCCCAGAGGGGGCTCAGCTGACCCACCTGCTGGGAGCCCCCAGGGGAGGAAACGCTGGAAAGACAGACAGTGGAGGGGCCTCAACCGGCAGGATGAGAGCTTGGTCTTTGGCTTATTAGAAATAAAGAACAAATTAAGGTTTTTGCAGAAGGCACTTGAAAGTAGTCATTCTAGAAGATGAATACACACACACACACACACACACACACACACACACACACACCCTCTCAGGCTCACAGCTATAAAGCCAGGAACAAACTCCACGTGATGACAGCTTTCCAAGCCCGGATGGAGGCCATTTAGGGCAAGAGCAGGTGGTACATTCTGACAGAACTCTTTTTGAAGGAAATCGAGATGTCTCTGGTTCAGCTGCAGAGGGACATCTGCCATGGTCAAGACTCTGAGAGCCACTGCCTGTCTGCGAGCAGCCCGGCCAAGGTCTCTGAAGGGCGGTGGAATGACCTGGCTCTTGCGTCACAATGGCGGGCCTCTGGCTAGACTCTGACCAGAACAAATTTGAGAGCGGTCCTCTGCCCTCCAGCTCTGGCTCCCACATTCCTCCAGGGGCCTGTTCCATCCACTCAGAGCTGACAGGCCTCAGGGCGGGTCCTAAAATGTCTTTCCATTGATAAAGGAAAGGAGGGCGGCTGTCTGAAATGGCTCTCTGCCACCCTGGCCGGTGGCCTGGAGGACCTCCCTGCTCGCTGCAGCCAAGCTCCTGGGAGGCAGTATGCAATCTGCCATCTCTCCAGTCCAAAAAGTTACTCTCAGCCCTTGATTAAAAAGTAGGTGCCTGGAGGGGAGGGTATACCTCAGTGGTAGAGCACATGCTAAGCATGCATGAGGTGCTGGGTTCAATCCCCAGTCTCTCCTCTAAAAATAAATAAATAAACCTAATTACCCCCCATATACACACACAAAAAAAGTAGGTGTCTTCCTCCTAGGACTTCAGGGTGTCTGAATTTGGGGCCAAGAAGCCAATTTTAGCTGTTTGGCAAGTGAGGGTTCCCTTGAGCAGTGATTTCCAAACTGGGCATCTGTAGGGGTTACCCAAAACTGGAATCCAAGAAATTAAAGCTTTTCTGATACTAACTGTATAGATCAGAGCATCTGTCGGGTCACGTGACACTTCTGACACTCAAGGCATCGCAAGGAAAGTGGGCATGCCACAGGCGGGGGTGGGGGTGGACGGAGGCCTATCGGGACATGTGGCAGGTCTCGTGTGCCCCCACTTGAGTAGCATTATGGATGGTATTATCCAATTTTAATAAAATAACTCTTGGCGGAGGAGACAGCTCAGCAGTAGAGTGCCTGCCTAGCATGCACAAGGTCCTGGGTTCAATCCCAGTAACTCCACTTAAAAACTAAGTAAATAAATAAACCTAGTTACCTCTTTCCCTAAAAAAAAAAACTTTCATAAAATGGACGAATGAGTTAAAGAGATTCCTGTGAGAACTTCAGTGCATGTTAACACCTATACAAGCAAAAAAAAAATGTGGAAGAACTAACACATGTGATGTGATAAACTCATGTCAGACACGTAAGGAATAAAAACAATGAGGATCTATCAGATCTAAAAAGAAATCAGTCCAAAGAATTCAAAATTATAAAAACTTCACATACGGATGTTCATCTACCATCCTTAACGATTCTCAGTTTCGTGTGTATCTGTATAATTCGAGGCCATGAAGTAAGTAGACAATACTGGGAAAGACACCATCATGGGTAAATACTTAAAACATGTTTTAAATTACTTTTTAAAACATTTAAAAATATTTTACTATTTTCACTCTTTAAATTTTTCTATTTTTGTGTTTCATAACATGTAACATATTAGTAGGTGATAATCCAATGCTGGCATAGATACAGGATTTTAAATCTAGATACAGAAATGAGGCTGAAAGCTTACTTTTTTTTTTTTTTTTTTTTTTTTTACCATTTGTTTAGGAGCACAGTCAATAAAGCTGGGAGACCACTAACCTAGTCAGTTTCAGGGCCCTGAGGCCCCCTTCCTCACTCTCTCCCAGGAAGCCCAGGGCCAGCGGTGAGCCCCACTCACCCACGGAGCCCAGTGTGGGGTAGAGGCAGAAAGAGCAGAGTCTGCCTTCCCCGCCCACCTTGCCGCCCCTGGCTCTTCCCAGCAGCGCGGGGCCTACCTGATTGTGCCATCGGATGACGTTCCCAAATCCCCCTGTCCCCAGACGCTCTTTCATTTCCCAGGCCCCACATGTCTGGGTCGGCAGGGAAGGCGACCAGCTCATACTGACGTCCTGCTAACTCCGTAAGCAATCTGGGTGGAGGACACAAGGGGAAGGTTAAGGGCAAAGGGAACTCAAGGAGATGGACAAGAAAAGTGACAACGTAGCCCTTCAAAGTGAAAGAAGAAAACTCGGAACTGGTTTTTATCTTGTCAGTAAACCAGGTTTTTGTTTTGGGTAGCAAACTCCAGGGTTTCTCCCCTGACCCAGCAGCCCCACCTCGGCTGCTGCGTGGACGCAGCCGGGAGGACCGGACGCCCCACTGCCCTGCACCTGAAAGGGGATTCCCAGCCGGGACCCTGCCCGGGCGCCCAGCCCCGGTGGCCGGGGGCGCCTCCCCTTCCGAGCTCCGGGGCGCTGCGTCATCGCGGCGCGGACGAATCACCGCCGCGTCCCGGGCCCCCACCTCGCGGCCGCCACCTGGCACCACCCCGCCGGGCCGGGCTCCGGGGCCTCCCGGCTCCCAGCCGCACCGGAACCCCGACTCGGGACTCGACGCGAGCGTCTCCGGGAGCCTCCGCCGGGAGCGGGTGCGAGCCCGCCGGGCAGCAGGCGCCCGGGCGCCGGCCGAGGGACTCACCTGCCGGGGGCGCGGGGCCGGGGCGCGGGCCGGGGCTCAGGCGCCCCCCCGGAAGACATTAAAGTGCGGGAATCTCAAACCCGCCAGCCCAGCGCGACTTCCTCAAACACTTCCTGCTCTCACGTCACGGAGCACGTGGGCCGAAGCCCTTAAAGGGGCCGCGCGCTCCAGGCCACGCCCCTCCCGGCCAGCGGGTGATTCCGCGGGGCTCCGGGCTGCTCCGGACCCGTTGTGCCCCGGGCGATGGAAGAACAGCCCAAAAATGAGCCCGAAAACGCCGGAGTTCTCTTTAGATGGGCGGCTTTGATCTGAGTGGTTTCTGGGGCAGAGGAGATGGGAATTTCCTCACCCCGACCTTCCCGGGGTCAGCCTGACTCGCTTCCTAGACTTTTAACTGGGGGAATTTCCCGCCCCCGCTGGGATTGATCTAAGGGACTGTTTACAAGAATCGCCGCGGGCCTCCTGTCCTCAGGCTGCATTCCCCTCGTCTGGAGGCGCTTTGGCTCGCACGGAGAATGATAAATCACACCTGAGATCCTTAGAAGTGACAGCCCCCGCCCCCCAGCCTTAGAAAATAAAGAGCAGGAAAAAAACCTATAGGGTAACACTAAACAGCAGTTTCAGCCCCCAGTGACGTAGGGAAATTGTGAGAATGGCTCTTAGCCCTGGGGTTAATGGTCCATCACCTGCCTGCTTGGCATCACAGTAAGGTTTTTACTATTGAATTTCTCAGTTCATCCGCATCATACGAGCAGACAAAGGAGTTGTGTGCGTTGGTATATTTACTCAAGCAGGAAAAAAGTATTAAAGGCAACCTGAAGTTACCGGCTCACTTTTACGGAGTGCTTACTAAGTGCCAGGCACTGTAAATTCTGTACTTGGATCTCCTCCTTCAGTCTTCAAGGCAACCCTACAAATTGGACAATACTGCATAATCATTACCCCCATTTTACAGATAAGAAAACTGAAAACTGAAGCACAGAGAGAAAAAGTGTATTCCAAAGTCACAGGCTAGTAAGTGGATGTTAATCTGATACTCAGACCCTAGCAGCTTGTTCCTGGGCCCAAGCTCTTAATTGTGGTTATAAGCAGCATACTAGGAAGTTCAGAAGGAAGCAAACTGGGTTTTGAATCCCGATACTGCTGTTGCC